ACAATTATTTATTCAATCTACTGCTCTATAACGGATTAACTCTCTGTGCGTGTATGGGTGCTAACACATGCATGTTCATGTCTGTGTTGTCAGGGTCAGCCCTTGTGGTCCTACTGTATCCCTTCCCCATTTGACCAGCAGGCGTTGCTGGTCATCCCGTCCTTCATGTTAGTCTTTGTGTTTCCCTTGTTCTCTGTTAGCCTCATAGCTCGACACATTGAGCATTCAGTTGTCTGTGAACCCTTCTGTCCTGTGTTAGAATCCCACCTCCTCTGTTTTTGTATTTTGATCCCTAGTGTTTCATTTGAGTTTCTCTAGTTCTTGTGTCTGATTTTGTAGTTGGTTTTTGTTTTGTTCCTTGTGCCCCTGCTTGTGTCTTTACCTGCTTGTAAGTCCGTAGTGTTGGTTTCTGTTTCCCTGTTTCCTTGGTTAGTTCTTAGTTTCCCTGTTTTGTTCCTTTGAGTTTATTAGTTTCACCTGTGCCCTGTTTTCCTGGTCTGTTAATTAGTCTCACCTGTCCTGTGTTAGTCTTATTACCCAGTTTTGGTTTCTGTATTTAAGTCCCTGCTTCTGTTCTGTTCTCTAGTGGTTCGTTGATTGTGTTTGATTGTGATGTTAGATATTCTCAGTGTTAGATGTGTATTTGGTTTTTGTTATTTAGTCTTTGTTTATCCCCTTTTAGTTTTTGACCCCTCGTGGTCTTTTTGGTTTTGTTGTGTTTGTAGTGTTTTCTGTTTTGTTTAATAAACCCCGTTTTTGTGGTCTTGGTGCCGGCAGTGGGTCGTCCACCTTTTTCTGTGTGCACTATGCCACATCTGCTCGTCCGAGCCGCCCGGATCCATGACAGAACGAACCACTCCCAAGGACGATCCCCAGGCTCCAGAACACCTGCCCCCCCTGAAGTTCTGGTCACCATCCAGGCTCGTATGGAGGAGCTCCGCGCTCTTCAGGCCGTCTGGAAACGGTTATCCCTGACCCCTACTGTCCTCCAGTCACCATGGTTGTGCCAGGCCCTGACAAAAGCCGGCAACCAACTTATCCAGCTCTCTCCTGCCTCTCCGGAGGAGGAGGTACGTAGAATGGAGAGGGTTTTTTGGCACCTGGTGGACCTGGCAGGGTCGCCTGAGGTACCTGACCCAGGTTCCAGGAAACAAGCTGCCGCTGCAATGTCAGAGCCCTGTCCAGCGGATGTCGCAGCCGCCACGATGCCCAAACCCTGCCCTTGGGAAGTCGCAGCCGCCGCCGAGATGCCCGAGCCCTGCCCAGGGGAAGTCGCAGTGGCCGCCACAATGCCCGAGCCCTGCCCAGGGGAAGCTGCAGCCGCAATGCCCGAGCCCTGCCCAGGAGAAGCTGCAGCCGCCGCCGCAATGCCCGAGCCCTGCCCAAGGGAAGCTGCAGCTGCAATGCCTCAGCCCTGCCCAGGGGATCCCCACATCATCGTGGCAATGCAGCCTAGGAGCGCAGCGCACCTGCCTGCTCCTTTGCTGCCAGCGCCAGCAGCTCGCCCCTTTGTAGGGACGCGTCTGGCTCTTAAAGGGGCCAGGTCGGTTGGGGACGCCATCCCGCGGGTCCCCAGGATTCCTACACGGGCGACATCCCCTGCCAAAGAGCAAACCCCTGCTCTGGTCTCCATGGTTTCCGAACCTCCAGAGGTTCCAACACTGGCGGTCAATACTTTGCCCCCAACTGTTCCTGACCCGCCAGACCTGCCTGTTCCTGACCCGCCAGACCTGGCGGCTGCATCGCCACCCTCAGAGGTGCCTACTCCGCCCGAGGTCCCGCCTCTGCCTGCGGCTCCGCCTGACACCCCGGCTCTACCTGACGCCGGCACCTCTGCTCTGCCCCGGCTTCCTCAGCCTGGCCCACAGGGGGCCGCCGCTGCATACGTCGCTCCACCTGAGTCTCCCATGCCTGGTCCACAAGGGGCTGCCGCACACGTGGCTCCGCCCACGCCCGGCCCACAGGGGGCTGCACACCTTGACTTTGCTCCTGCATCCCTGCCCGAGGCCGTCCTGGCCCTGAGGCTCAACTTTCAGGCTCCTGCCTCCACCCAAGCGGACCTTGCCTGGTGCTGGTGGAGGCCCAGCAGAGGGCCAGGTCGGTTGTCTGTTTCCCGAAAGGGGAGACGGGGACACACCAGGTGGACCAACCGCATAGATCCAGGTCCTTTTCCAGTAGGCCCTAGTCCATTACGCACTTCCCCATCATCCTCCAGTGTCTGCCTCCATCACTGTCCAGTCTCCTCATCCTCCGGTGCCTGTCCCCGTTCTGTAGTTGTCTCTTCCTCGTCGCATTTCAGTTCCAGTCCTGCAGTCACCTCATCACCCTCCAGTCCTGCACTCCCTTCCTTGTCACCTTCCAGTTCCCATCCTGCAGTCTCTTCCTCGTCGCTCCCCAGTTCGTCTCCTCGTCAATGACCTCTGGTTCCCGTCCTCGTCCTGCAGTTCCTTCCTCCTCGCCCTCCAGTCGGCCACCAAGCCCACATCCTACCCAACCTTTCCCTTTTCTGTTTCCTGGCCAGCTGCCCCAACGAGTCCCATTTCGGCCCTTCCCTTTCAGTTCATCTGCCCCATTTCAGTCCCAGCCTCATGTCCCTGGTCCTTTCCCTCGCCCTGCTCCTTTTGTTCCTTTCCCTTCCGGTTCCCCAATACAATTTCATTTTCCGCCTCGTGTCCCTGGTCCTGTTCCTCAGTGTCCACGTCCGTTTGTCCCTGGTCCCCAAGTTCTGCTCCCTGCTGTGTTCCCTCGTCTAGTCTTGTCCCAGCTCCTGGTGTCTGCTCTGTCTGTTTTTGTTCCCCTCTTGTCTGAGTTCTTGGTTTTGTCTGTCCAATTCCTTGGTTTTTGTTAGTGGTTTCCCTGTCCTGTTCTGCGTCTTGTACTGTCCGCCCGTTCTGTGGCCCTGGCAGTGCCCTTGCGCGTGTCTGGTGTCCGCGCGTTAGGTGGGGGGTACTGTCAGGGTCAGCCCCTGTGGTCCTACTGTGTCCCTTCCCCGTTTGGCCAGCAGGCGTTGCTGGTCATCCCGTCCTTCATGTTAGTTTTTGTGTGTCTCCTGTTCTCTGTTAGCCTCATAGCTCAACACATTGAGCATCCAGTTGTCCGTGAATCCTTCTGTCCTGTGTTTGAATCCCACCTCCTCTGTTTTTGTATTTTGATCCCTAGTGTTTCATTTGAGTTTCTTTAGTTCTTGTGTCTGATTTTGTAGTTGGTTTTTGTTTTGTTCCTTGTGCCCCTGCTTGTGTCTTTACCTGTTTGTAAGTCCGTAGTGTTGGTTTCTGTTTCCCTGTTTCCTTGGTTAGTTCTTAGTTTCCCTGTTTTGTTCCTTTGAGTTTATTAGTTTCACCTGTGCCCTGTTTTCCTGGTCTGTTAATTAGTCTCACCTGTCCTGTGTTAGTCTTATTACCCAGTTTTGGTTTCTGTATTTAAGTCCCTGCTTCTGTTCTGTTCTCTAGTGGTTCGTTGATTGTGTTTGATTGTGATGTTAGATATTCTCAGTGTTAGATGTGTATTTGGTTTTTGTTATTTAGTCTTTGTTTATCCCCTTTTGGTTTTTGACCCCTCGTGGTCTTTTTGGTTTTGTTGTGTTTGTAGTGTTTTCTGTTTTGTTTAATAAACCCCGTTTTTGTATTCTTGGAGCCACCAGTGGGTCGTCCACCTTTTTCTGTGTGCACTACGCCACGTCCTCGCGTCCGAGCCGCCTGGATCCATCACATGTGTGTTTGTCCATCCTTTAGCTTGTGTGTGCTAGTCTGTATCCCTCAAGAGAATATTGCAACACAAGAGTCCCTGCACTGCTGGGGAATTTGCACAGTCAACCCAGCCGCAGTGATTCTGTTATCTGCAGCCCAGTTGCCCCTGAGTGAATCAAGGGCTTGAAAATTAAGGAGTCACCTCCATGTCAAACCTCAGTGGTCCTATGCAACCATAATTTATGTACACGATATAAAACTAGATAGCCATTCATCTCAACAGTTCGTGCGTGCTTTTCCAGGATAATTACTATCACGGAGGATCTCAAATGGTGCAGAGGTTCACAGCAACTCCTGTTTTAAATACCCAATTTGCCTTTCCTTCCAGCTGATGGTCTGACATCGTAAATCCAAATGATGGCTGGACAATATTTAAATTTCACAGGAGTTCTTCCGTAATAAAAACGTCAATGTGTTTCAAGGTGTTTGTAGCTCATTTGGGCAAGTTACATGCGGCATGTCCTACATTTTATTGGAGTGGGTCCAACGTCTCCCAGGTTACATTAATAAATCTTTATTGAAAGTCTTCAAACGGACATAGTGATGTCGTTAGTTCATACAGACATGCAAAACATATTTCTATGCAGAAGTGTACTTTTACCAGCTTATGAAGGGTCGTTAAAATCCTTCATGTAAATTAGCATAGATAAGCATGCCAACCCAACCCTGCTTAGAGGACATATCTAATATTCCTGGGACAAAGCATCATATCGGCGCCTCTGTTGGCATCCAATCGTGTGACTAAACCTCAGTCTCCCATCCCTACAGCCGACATACTACTTGCCAACACCCTTAGCTACTTTCTCGGATGGCTGCACGTAAAATATATAAAAATAACAGTATAAAATAAAAAATATATGAAATATGTTCAGATGTACATAATCTATACATAAGTGATAAGATCAAATTGACTGTGCTGTGTAATATAAGCGCAATGTGCGAGACCTGAGGAATGTACCGACAATTTTGACAGTATGATCTGAATGTAAACAGTACTCATTGGATTATGGGTAATATAATATAATATAATATGGGTACAGTATATCAAGAATCCAAGTATTTCTTTTTAATTTTTACTATAAAATTATTTAAAAAAAAAAAAAAAGCATTTATTATAAGGCCTTTCTGGATAACTAACTAACAGGAAGTTGAGCCTTAGTCTCCGAAGTTACATTTACATGTACAGTTACATTCAATGTCAACAAAAATCAATCAGCCGTTTTTATCAGTCTGGTCTTGCTTTGGTGATAACAGCTGAAACAACACGGAGAAGGAACCTGTGGCTTTTGGAGATGTGCAGACCTCGCCTGGAGATGTGCAGACCTCGCCTGGAGATGTGCAGACCTCTCCTGATCCTACTAGGAAGCTTCAGTTCTGTTGCCGTTTCCTTGAGCATATACACACGTTTGCATGATAATTTGAACATCATACATTATATAACTGCTATTTAATATCTATACATTAATGAACCGATTATCACAACATGTTGAGATCATTGTATACGATATGAATATATATGAATATAGTATAAACTGATGCTCCTTGGGTTACGATGGTCCATGTTATGATATTTCAATTTTATGATGGGTATGATTATTCAATAAATGACATGAGATATTCAGCACTTCCCAACTGTAGGCTAATGTAAGTGTTCTAAGCATGTTTTAAGGTCGGCTAAGCCAGGTTATGAGGTTTGTTAGGTTAGGGGAACTGTATGAAAATGCATTTTCGCCTTACAATATTTTACCTAACCATAGGTTTATGAGAACGTAACCCCATCATAACCTGGGAACATCTGTAGTAAAATCATTATATATGTGACATATTCATTAATATCCATTATTTACATCCATTATCGTATTTATCATGGCTTTATTTGTTTAGAGATGTTAAAAATCATAGCATGCTGTCTCAACAGCTGTGACAGAAAACCTATTTTTGGTGGAGAAAGATGAAAGGAAGCAAAAATCGTATTAGTAAAAAAATAAAAAATAACATGAAATGTTCAGAAGGTGAAATATGTCGGTCTTTGAAGGGGTTCTCTTTTTTTTGTCAACAGTCTGCTGAATGGTTCTGGCACTGTTTCGCTTGCTTCACTTGCTGATGAACTGGGACTGGGATGAACTGACCAGATCCACGGCTCATGGTTTTATGGATAGCGACGCAAAAATCGAACAAATGGAACAAAACAGAATGTAAACAAACAGAACAGAGCTACAAAATGCAATGGCCAAAGAAACAATATATTGTTATAGTGATTTTTCAGATTCACGTTATTGATCCCAGAGGGAGGTTCCTATGGAGATCAAAGACGAAGAAACTGTCACAGCCTGAAGCAGTGAGACAGGAGATATGAGGCTTCAAAATTCACGTTTTCACATTTTGGTTCCTGCTTATTTCCACTGGGTTATAATACCAGGTCATCTTTCCCATCACTGTCAGCCTCTGCCATTATTTGAAACTGTTGACTCTTCCATCTTTCCTCAAAGAAAATCCAGTCCTCCTTGAATCTTTTGCCGATTGTTGTCAACCAAAAACAGCAAACAGCATTTCTTTCCCCCTCATGCTACCCTGATTTTCAGGTAAATAAATGGAAAATGAACAGTTACAGTGTATGGATGTTTCAGAGTTAATGCATGTACACCTCTGAATTTAGATGGTATGTTAAGACTGCAGTCCTTTAACTCATACCCATTAGCAGCTGTGCTTCTAATTTAAATGGGGATCATAACTGCGGCCACGTGCCTTTGAAAAAGTAGGGAAAATATCATTTCAAAAAGTGACAGTTTATTTCCAGTTGTTTTATTAGAATGAATATGCAGGTGTTACAATATGCCCACAGAGAAATGTAATTCTGTGACAGATGTTTCTGCATCAAATTGCTGCTCCAATTGGTTTGTTTTCCCCAGTGTTCACTAATGTTTTTTTAAAAGCCTGCCTGAAAAGAGCCCACACATGAAGATGTGAGGAGAACATGTCACTTGGTATCTTCCCTGCGGTGCCACGAACTCAACAGCGATGGGCTGAAGTCATCAGTTTGTGACACATTAGCAAAAGCACGGGTGGGCCCTTCCAAACTCGCCAAAAAGCATCGCAAAGTGCCTGCGACAGAGGGGTAACCCGGCAACCGCTTTGATCTGTCACCGTGTTCCATTTTGTGATGTCAGCGCTTGACAGCGGCAGATGGCTGCCTCCTCGCTGACACGGCCTGTCAGAACCATCCCCTGAGAGCATGAGCGCCATCTGGCTGTGGGAGCGGCTCGTGACAGCTCGGCTGTTATGGCTTGTAAAGCAGACACATTGATTGGGGCGAACTTGTACAACAGGCAGCGGCCTGCAAGAAGGCTCACACAGGTGGGGCTCACACAGAAGGAAGGGGATATGCGTAATGTTAATTGATTAAACTTACCAGAGCTGTTAATGTCTTGATTACCTGTGCAGTCTTACTCTGATTCTGTACCTCTATTCTCTTCACCTGTATGTGTAGCTCGTAAATTAGATAGATGGGTAGGTAGATAGATGGGTAGGTGGGTGGATGGATTGATTGAATGATTGATACTCAGTAAAGGAGTTTAAGTATTCCACTATGGTATTCCATGGTCTTCTGTGCTTCTATGATCATGAGAAGTGGATACAGGTGACCAAAATGAGGTTTCTCAGCAGGCTTACCAAACTCACTCCCAGTGACATCATGAGGAGTTTGGAGATCCAGACGGACCTCAGGTAGGAGTCAGCTGTGGTATTTTGTAAATCATATAAGAATGCCATCTGGAGGGCTCCCAAGGATGCTGTTCTGGGAATGTCCTACTGGGGGAAGCCCCAGGGGGGGTCCAAGGCATGCTTGGGGATCATCTCCTAGATGGCTTTGGAATACCTAGCGATCACCCAGAATGAAGTGAAGCCTGTGCCAATAGCAAAAGAGCTCTGACCTGCTTGGTATCCTGCCACCACGCCGCCCAGCATGGTAAGAAGATGATGATGATGAAGATGATGGTGAACGATAGTAACTGAGTGTCATATAATCTTTATTTAAAATACAGCTTTAAATATTTCAGTCCATTGTTATTTCTGGCAACAGTGCTGAAAATTGCAGTCAGATTAATGAGTTTAGAGTATCTTGTGGCTTTTGTCTCAGTTTGCAGGAGTGGAATGTCAATTCTGGCCCTCTGGTACAATCAATGACGTCTGATAGATCGTGTTTTGCAGTCATCTGCCAATCACTAATCGGCCCTTCAGAAGAACTACTTTTGATACCAATTCTGTGAATAACGCTGTGTAACTCCCGTGAACCGTTTTCAGTACCTGCATTCTTGTTTTGTATCATCTGAGTATCTAACATAGGCTCCAACTGGATGGATGGATGGATGGATGAGCATGCAATACCTATATACATTATGACATGGCTGTCAGAGAAGTACTTCGCCCCAGAGCACCTTGCTAAGGCTTAGCAGTACAGTTGTATAAAATGGGCTTTTTAGATGTTCAGCTCTTCCGTACTGTCAGGGTTACAGCTGCATTTGGGAGAGCAGATCTCACAAGGCTTTCTTGTGGATGCTCACAGTTCAGGAGTCACTCTGATCAAACAAAAACAAGGGATGGAGTCAGAGAAGAGGACACATGAGAGAGTGTAAGCCGGCCCTGTGTCTGTCCCCACCCCACTCCATCAGGGCGAATTTCCTGAGTCTGAATTCAAACCATGGACCTAGGAATGTAAAAATGCTAAAATTATATTGAGATAAAATGCCCCTCTCATGTATGACTATCGACAACTTTATAGGAATGTCGCTTCTTCAAAGACTTAAAGTTTTGGGCTGTGAATTGTCAGACGATTCTCTGTGTTGCCTTCATTTACTGTAGCATAAAATACTGCTTGACTCTATGTCTCTGTCTATCATTTCACCATATCCTGCAGCCCTAAAAGATCTGTTTCTTCATTTCACCTTTTCAGTTTTGTGTGATGTGTTACTGAAGTGTCAGTGCTCACTGGCTCAGATTTTTTTCCCACAAACAAAAAGTAAAAAGGTGTGTTCGAAACTACCAAGAGCTCAGCTTTCATTTTCGTCTTTTTTTTCTTAAAAAAGAAGATGAGAAGTGGTGAGACTGTTCGCTACCCATGGAAGCTTCATGGAAATCTCTGCCAAACTATAAGTCCCAGGATTCACAGTCTGGCCGCTAGAATTTAGATTTAGGACAACCCTTTTTGGGCTATAAAATTTACTATTTTCTCTGCCTCTTGACTGCAAGGAGGAAAGGCTTTCATCTGAAACCATCAGGGCAATGACAGTGAGAGTGCCCTATTAATAATCATAAACTATGCTTCCATTCATCCATCCATCCAACTGTTTATACTGGTCAGGGTCAAGGAGGGGCTGACTCTCCCAGACTGCACAGGGTACATACTGGGGTACATACTGGATTGTAAGCCAGCCCATCAAAGTAATGATAAAATAGCACAGCATGCAATTTTTATATTGAGGTAAAACTGGCTTCTTCTAGATCTATATAAGTCAACTTGATTCAGCATCTATGTCTGATATTTGACCTTTTGGCCTTTATGATATCATGTGATTTATTAATTCAGTGTACTTTGAACTATCAACAACACCAGACAGAATCCACGATGCTACTAATAGCTACTTTATATTGATAATCTGAGTTGCAGGGGAATTTGGTGTTAATGTAGTAATGTAAGGCTAATGAAACAGATTTCATTCCCAGATTGGGTACGAATAACAGGACGCTGCGTGGTTAATAGCGAAATAGTTTCGGTATTGTAGTCATCAGTCTGAAGGACACTGTGTAATGTGGGTCGTTCCCACTATGACATTGCACCAATAGAATTCAAGTTTTTTAGTGTACTGTCTGTGCAAACGATAACCATTTTGTCTGATTAAAAATTTTTTGACAGGCTTTTGTGAAACTAGGAAATATATACGTCAAAATATACCCTGTCTCAATGTTCAATTATTATGAAGACATACGTCAAACCCAAGTAATTTAAGAAAAGCTATATCTGCTGGTCACACTGCCTTACACGAACTATTTAAAAAAGAAAATAAATCATTTATCTGGCATTTATGGGATTCAGTAGCAGTAAAGAACGACAGATCCATTTAAATTAAATAAAGAGTTCTTCGCGTCTTTTAGTCCCATCATTTAAGCAGAGTTACACAGGTCAAGGGCAGCCTAGACTAAGATACCCGAACATCCAAATATAGCCATCCCTCCTCTCCCGCAAGTTTCCGGGAGTCACACGCAAATTGACAGTAGCGCCCTGATCCTTCGCGAATGTCGTGCATTGTCGCACAAGCACCCCCGCCACGCCCATGAAGCCTGTCAGCTTTCACTAGGATTGGGGGCTATCTATTCTCTTAAAAGTCATACCATCAAACCGTCCAGGGTATTATACCGCGATATTGCGGTAGGCCTATATGGCATTTTGAGAAACAGCGCCACTCCGGTATGTCCAGAAAATTATTACCATAATACCCCATTACCGTATTACCCCCTAACCTTAGTCGGAAACGTTTCCATAGCTATGCACCCCCCCCCCTCCCCCGGTAGTCCCTCACCCGCCTCCCTGAAATCAGTCATGTCTAAGGGATGTCAGCAAATATCATACAGTTTTGGACCTGGAAGAATATGACGCTATAGAAACTTTTTTTTCACAAATGTGTACAATATGGCATACGGTTGTTCGTAATCATTTTCACCTCTGTATTACGTACGTTTTCTATTGAACACTTGCACACAATTACCGGTTCCGTAAATGTCTCTTCATGGGTGTAAATATTAAAACAATGACTTAGAAATTAAAATAAATACATAACACTCATTACATTTTAATACGTCAAACACCACTCCTGCGCGCCATCATTAGCAATATCAAGCCTTGGGCTATGGAAGATAATTATAGAGGGATTGATGCAATCAGAAGTCTTTGCACTCTAAAGGCAGCAGATGGAAACGTGTAGAGCACAAACATTAGCTCTGTCCTCACTGTCAAATCACGTCTTACAAACTTGAAGAGATTTTAAGGATTAAACATTAATGCAGCCCGGGAATTCAATAGTCTCCATGTGAAACCATGTGAAAAACAACGTCCTTCAATAGTTGACGATACTGATAATTTAAAAGTGCAGACTAGACTTTAATAATTACGACAAAGGGAAATTAACACTTTGATGGATTTGTATCTTTTTCCTTGTGTGACCCAAAATGTATTGAAAAAGCCGCTACCCGCTCTTACACTGCCATCTTCTGTTGAAATACTGTAATTTCACCTTACGCCTTGACTGAAAATTCTTGATATGTTAAACGCATTTCGGTGTATTCATTTTATGCAAATAACTAACGAATATTTTAATGTAAGAGAAAAGTAAATGGAAAAATATCAAAATGAGAGACAACTTGAAGTGTGTGATAACAGTGCCACCCACTGATGTTTCTATGCATGGGTACTGGGTCAACTTTTATACACTGAGTACCGTAGCAAAAATTGTCCCAGGCAGTGTCATGCTGGTCAGCAGACTATTACTTTTTACTTGATTTGTTCAAGTCTTTGTGAGTGTGGAATTGGGATGACATCCGGCAAACTTTATCTGTGCTCACAGGGTCGGGCAAGTCCATTCGCTATTTATGTACAGTCATTTCCAGATATGACACTAGGTACAACATTCCTCTTCGTTCCTCGACTCCATCCAGCCAGTGGCGTCGCACAAATAGCGCGTGCGGACAAATAATGCGTTCGCGCAAATTTTGGGGATGTCATGCTTCAGATTATGCCAGAACACTTCAAAGGGACTGAAGGCAAGACTGTGACTTTTAAAATAATGAATCTCTTCGAATTTTACTAGTTCACAATTTCATAAATTGTGCGCTTTAGATTAGCCAATGGGTTACAAAAATTAAGGGGAAAAAAAACAAATTCAGCAGATTTTTTGTCAATATCACTCGTCTGTAAGGAAGCTTTGTCGCACTTCATAATGAAGAATGACATCACATGTCATGCTTATATGACATTAAATTCAAATTAATTCCATTTTACTAGCCTTTTAAAAGACTTCCAGTGCTTTAATGTCTGAGCGACCTGTGCAGCAAACGCACAAAGCTTGTGCATTTGGTGTCGAAGATGGCGAAAAAAAAAGTTACATGTAGTTAAAAAATTGAAAAAAAAAATTGTGTTGCCATGATCTTAATGTGCTGTAAAATATTTTTTTTTCGAGAGGCGATAGGTGCATGCAGACATTCTTATACATGGTGCGAGGTATTCGAATGATCAAAGTTCACAAAACAGTGTCGGTACTAAAATAAAATACGGTACTTCATGTGCAGATGCATAATTATGTAAAACTATATTATTCTAGCTCTGTACTATATGTTACAAGAATTGCTGTTTGTAGGAATCATGCATATGTTCTCCCCTCAATGTTTTGCACTGTATTATTTACACGAGACGACAATACAAACTAGACAATGCAGCGACGTTACGCACCAAAATGCAGTTGC